GCGCCGCGGCGGCCTCTGCCCTCCTCTGCCTGCTGGAGGCCGGGCCTCGGATCGCTGCGGTCTGCCCTTCACGTGACCGCCCAGGGTCGGCCGGCGCGGCCTGGAGGGCGGAGGACTCCCGCCCCTTCGCTTAGCAGCTCTGCGCCCCGGGCTGGGAAGCGGATCCGGCGGGGGCGGCAGGGAGAAGAGATCCGGTGGGCTTGGGTTAGAGAGCACCCAAACCATGGCACCGACTCTGTGCCCCGGAGGAATGGCGTCCAGTTTTCTGATCATTAGAAGAGCAGACCACTTTCCTCCCAGGCTCGTTTGGAGAATTAATGGAATTAATTATTTACAACGGCTGATGGCTGACGCTTGGTTCCTTCTCTGTCCTGGTGGAGCCCACCCCTCCTCCCCGGAACGCAATGTGGGGACCTTTGGGACAGATATCTCTCTCTGGGGAGGGGGACACGGAAATTACTTCCCAAGGGACACCTCCAGTTCCTGCCCAATCTGGAACACAAACTTGTGGGAGTTCCTGGATTTTCAAGAGAAAGTAGAAATGTGGATTTTCACCAGACTGTTCCTGATTTTTTTTAATGTTGCTCATGAATTAAAATAATAATGATGATGATGATGATGATGATTAGGGCCAACAGGTGATGTAGTGGTTAAGGCGCTGGACTTCCACATGGCTGGCTATGGTTGGAGTCCTGACTGGGACTTGAAACTCATGCTGGGCAAGAGTGCCTGAGTGCCCAAAATCCCAAAAGGAGAATGGAGGAGAGGGGATTGCAGCGTGGCCATCACCCTGGGGGTGATTTCTTGCTTTCTGTCTCTCTGTCTCTGTCTCTCTGGCAAGCACATGCACACTTTAGCAAAAATCTCTAAAAATAATAATAATAACGATTAATACTTGTAAGCCAACTCTTAGGTCAGCCTTGGCTGGCAGGACAAATGATCCTGGGCTCCTGTATCAACCAACTTCACTGACAAGTCCCACAGAAGCAACAGGCCTGGACAGTGAGACGCTGTCACCTCAAGGAGGCGTGGTGTCCTTGTACATAGTCCAGTGGGACTTGGTGCTAAGTACTGATGGCTTGCAAGTTTGAGGTCAGAAACTGGCAGGCAGAAATGTGATCCCCAGAAAATCCCACACCCTAATCCCTGGGATTGTGAATCTGTTACTTCACCGGTAAATGAGATTTTGCAGATGTAATTCAGGTTACTAATCGAGTAACTTAAAATAGGGAGATTACCTTGGCTTTCTAAGTTGACCCGTTGGAATCGCATAAACCCTTCAAAGCAGACAAGGAAGGCAGAGGAGAAGTGAGAGAAATTTGAGTCCGTGTGTCTGGGCGAGCCTGCACAGGCTGCTGCTGCCTCGAAGATGGAGGGCCCTGCGAGGACCTGAACTGCCCTCTGTCCTGCGTGCCCTTGAAAACAAGACTCTCCAGCGCCTCCAGGAGGTACTCATCCCTTCTGATACCTTGGAAGACCCTGAGCAGAGAAACCAACCATGCCTTGCATGTCTCTGACATAGAGACTGTGAGAAAATAAATGGGTGTTGTTTTAAGCCTCATATTTGTGGCAGTTTATAGGGAAAAAAAACTATAATAGGACCAGCAGTTGGCGTAATGGCTATGTGGTTGGACTCCAATGTAGTCAACTGTGGTTCGAGTCCTGGACCCAGTAGCTTCAACTCACGCCAGGCACGTGTGCGTGCATGCCTCCAAGATCCCAACAGGAGAATGGAGAAGAAGGGATTGCGGCATGGCCATTCCCCTGGGGGGTGATTTCTTGTTTTCTGTCTCTCTCTGTCTTTCTGGCGAGCACACGCGCCCTATAGCAAAAACCTCTCAAAAAAAGAAAAAGATAAAAAAAAACTACGAGACCCTGGCCTGCATTTCAGAGCCCAAATCCTGTCCCAGTCATGAAGCTGGCCTGCAGAGAGCTGAACGTGGCCCCAGCAATGTCGCCAGATGGATTCTGTGATGATGTCCAGGTTCTTGGTGGTTCAGACAAAAAATTGAATGAAACATGCGGATGGTGAAAGGAAAATGTAGTTTGTTAAGTAAAAGCAAAAGTGCACTCCTGAGAGGTAGGAGTGGGCCTGAGGAGACACAGAAAGACTGGCACAAAGGCCCGGCATTACATTCTGTGAGATTTACAATTTTTTTGAGAGATTTTTTGCTGTAGAGTGTGTGTGCTTGCTAGAGAGACAAAGAGATGAAAAGTGAGAAAACACTCACCTCCCCAGGGAAGTATGGCCATGCCACAATCCCTTTCACTTCCATTTTCCTCCAGGAACTCTGGGCATGAACACACACATGCCTGACGTGGGTCTGGGACTTGAACCTCCAGGTCTGGGACTTGAACCGTGGTGAACCATGGGTGAGTTCAGCACTTTAACCACTATGCTACCTGCTGGCCCCAGGGTTTATACTGTTTTAACCTAGGTCCTGTTGATTGGTCATTGGCTGGGCCCACTAATTGGTCTCATCTCATTGGCTCTGTAGAATGTGGCTGGCCCGCTAATTCATCTCATTGGCTGTATCACACATGACTTAATCAGCTAGACATCCCCCATTGCAACTCTCCTGCCTACATTACCTTGGGTGGGGGATTCCTGCCCTGATCAATTTTTCTTCCCAGCTGTGGAGGCAGATGCTCCAACCCCCTTACCTGCTTCTGTTTGCTAGCATTCCCCTGCCTCAGTTCATTGGGCATGCCCCACACTGTTTCCAGGCCCTGCCCTCTGTTCCCCCTCAGTTCTAACATGAACCCCTCAAAAGCCCTTCCTCAATTTCTCCAGGCCAATAGACCACTTCCTCTCTGTGGTCCCCATTCTCTTCATGAAAACAACAATATGGTGCTTTAGCTCATCTGTCTGTGTGTGTCATTCCATCCCACTAGGCCACAAGTGCCTGCTGAGGAAGGGGACAGGGAGCCTTCATCTCTGAATCCCCAGCTCCTAGCACATAACAGGCCTATCTACGTGTAGCTGCCGTGGTAAAGCAAAATTCTTATCAACTCTAGGCAATGATCCATGTCTACAGGGTGTCTAGTAACTACTTCTCATAATTCTGTGTGTGTGTGTGTTACCATAAAACACTCTGTGTGCTCCTGGAAAAAAATATTCTATATCTTTTTTTTTCTTTTTGTTTTTCAAATGCCAGAGGGCACATACGCTTACCAGAGAGAAGACACAGAAAGAGAGAGAAAGTGCAGGAGAGGGAGAAAGCACCCCAATGGAGTGTGGTGAGGCCCAAACCCCTTCTCCCTTTCTCCATCCTGTAGGGTTTGGGGGCACACATCCTAAGTATCTGGCATTTTTCAAGTCCCAGGGTCAGCTATGTAGGTTCTGGCTTCCTTGACCACTAGGCTACATGACCCGCACAAATGTTCTATTTCTAGCTTTTATGGCAAGGTCTAATATATAGATGTGGATAAATGTGTTCATCGTTC